ACGCTTTGAGTGAGGACAGCTGCATATTGAGACCTAACGGGTTGAGTGACGTTTGCGACTGCCGGACACTTCGACGCATTGAGTGACGAGAGCTGCATACTGAAACCTCACAGTATGATTTGTATTGGAGATTGCCGGACACATAGTCGCGTTGAGTAAGGATAGCTGTATACTGAAAATCCGAAGTAGCTAAAGTGAGGGGACAATTCGATAATGCAGTACACATAGACCCGACCCCCAACCAGTACCCGAACCCCCCCTGAAAAATAGAGGCCATGCGCCCCCCCCCCCTCTACCTCCCCCAGAGGATGAGGAGGGTACAGTCCAAAGTAAGCACAAGCTTACCTAAGGTTAATGCCTACTGATACGGCATGAAAAAAAATGCTAAAGTCCCCCATTGGGCGGTGGAGGACTTAGAGCTAAGACACCCCAAAACTCTCCGGCGTGAGATCCAAAATGGATCGGACGGTGGAGGGGGGGTGGGTGTTCGTTGCTTGAAGTGGATCGATAAAACATAGAGCCATCAAAGCAAAGCTTATTACTCACGTCGAGCAAGCTGAACGACCGGACCAACCACGCAAAAACTGCGGAGCTAGATGTGCGGCACGCACAATGCATTGTTTTCGATTGGAGAGAGGCGAGTATAAAGCAGTAAGGAATTGTTGGCCAAACTTTCGGCAGATAGGTCTACTCGGGAGCGTAAGTGGGGTAGCAACCCATGGTGGAGCGTACATGAGAAGCTGGACGTTGGTGTACGCCCCATCCCGGCGTGTGAGTAGGATCTTAGGCTATGCAAGTCGTCCCTGAACTTATTGTGGTGAAAATGACCTCCCAGGAGGAAAGTAGCCTGTACCGCGGGACTTCGGAGATGATAAATTGGGTGGTCGGGGGACGTCTGGGTGTTAACTAAGCAGAGCGCCCGGCACAAAGTCTTGTGCCAGGAGGTGCGAGGTGTGAACTTGGATCTAGACTACGAGCCTATGTTGGAGGCGCTATTTAGCGTCGGTGAGCCGGCAAAAGAACTGAAAGGAACCACAACCCCCGCCGGACACTCGGATTGGGAAGGCCGAGTATTCCGTATACCTTCCTGAAAAAACACGAAAAACAAGTGGCCACGGTCCAGTTGCCGTAGAGATCATGAGGATGGTGAAGAAGCTTGGAGGATGGAAGCAGAAACTGTGGAAGGGAGACAAGTTGGAGCTGCTGCTGTTTGGGATTCCAAGGGACATGACGAGGATAGATCCAGAACTGTTGTGACAAGAAGGGACTGCACCGCCTAGCACGGGGACAAGTAGGCACAGAGAACATGAACACTTCCGGGTGAAATTGACCA